GTAATTGATTGTGGTAAGCCATGTTGAAGAAATATATTCTCTAGGGCGTCTATGATTTTCTCGCTTGTAATCTTCTTCATTATGTTAATTTCATAATAACGGCTATAATAATCTACCACAACTAGTACATTTTCATTCGATGGAAATTGTCCCAGCAGGTCAACTGAAATGTCTTGCCATGGTCCTGATGGTAGTTGTGTTGGTTTCAATGGTTCTGGTGCTGGCATCGAACTTGTTATCTGACACCCATGACATGTTTTAACATAGTTTTCTACATCTTTCGCCATTCCAGGCCACCAAACCTTGGTTCTGAGCCTTTGTTTGGTCTTCACTATTCCTAAATGACCTTGATGTGCTAATTCAATGCACTGCAATCTATATTTTGATGGAATAAAAATCCTTGTGTTTCGAAGAAATAAATACCCAAGACATGCAAGTTCCTGTTGTATGGCAGTATACTGAATCAAGTCCTTATCCAATTTGTTTGTCTTTACACTATCTCTCACCTTGCTCAATTCTGGATCATCTTTGGATGCCTCTTCAACCTCACGTGATGATAGCGCACATGGCGTTGCATTTGATGCGACCAATCGAATATACATCTCTGTATCATCACTGTCATTATTTTGTTGGTCATCAGTTTCTATTGGTAGTCTCGATAAAATATCAGCAATGTTATTTTTGCCAGGTACATACTTTACTGTATAAGAATAAGACATAAGTCTCATCACCCACCTTTCAATCCGTGAATTTGGTCTGGACTTTGGTCCATACAGGCGTTCTAGTGGTTTATGGTCGGTAATTAGGTCAAAATCAAGTCCATATAAATAAACATGAAACCTCTCCATAGCCCACACCACTGCTAATGCCTCTTTTTCCGTTGTTGAATATTTCTTTTCAGCATCGGATAGGGTCCGGCTGGCATAACTTATAACTCTGGTTTCACCATCATGTTTCTGAAGTAAAACTCCACCAATGCCTACATTGCTTGCGTCTGTCACCAATTGAGTACTTTCTGCATCCAACCTGAAATAGCCTAAACATGTTCCATTAGTTAAGCATTCTGTAAGTTTTACATAGCTATTTTCTTGTTCAGCTCCCCAATGGAATTTAGAATCTTTTCGCACTAATCGTCTTAAGGGTTCTGCAACTGTAGCTAAATTTGGAATGTATCGCGCTGAGAAGTTTACTAGGCCTAAGAAGCTTTTTATTTCTGCAGTTGTTGTTGGTCTTTTTGATTCTGCTAATGCTCTGACTCTCCCACTTGTAGGCTTAATTCCTCTTGCTGACAAAGTGTGACCCATGAATGTAATCTGTGGTACAGAAAATTGACACTTGTCCTTGTTGAGAGTCAATTTTTTCTCTTTGAATTTCTCAAGCACTACACTAAGTCTCTCATCATGTTCAGCCTGTGTTCTTCGATGTACAACAATGTCATCTGATATGTTGGCTACACCTTCACACCCACTCACTAATCACTCTTTGGTACTTTTCTGGAGCAGCATTTATCCCAAACATCAACCTTTTGAAATGATAAAGACCTTTACTTGTTATGAATGTTGTGATGCTTCGTGATTGCTCATCTAATTCAATTTGATGATAGCCATAATTCATATCTAATTTCGAGAACACTGTACTTTCATTCATCTCATACAGCACTTCATCAACTGTGGGGATTGGATGTCTCTCCCTCTTA